AGTTTCACCTGAAGCTACAGGGCAAGCCTACAAGCGTTTGGGGTATACTTAGTTATTAAGATTATTTGGTATGAGCTGTGGGCTTGCGGTTTAGGGATCAGGATTGGATACGTCTGCATGGATGAATTGCTCAAGCAAAGCGAGCACTCTTTTGTTGCTAGCGGCGTCCGAGCGGCTTAGTAAGGTCTGGGTGGCCATGCGCGTGTGCCCTTCCGATCCCAACATCGACATCGAGCTTGATGCACCCAGTCCCAGGCCACCCCTGCCCACCGAGGACCTGGATTTCATGATCCAGCGGTTTACTGAAAAGATGACGAGCATGGAAGCAACAGATCCCGAGATTATGAGGGGTGTGCCTGCATGGAAAGTCCTGGCTAAATTCGGAAAGCCCCTTCGCAGCAAAAAGCTGACTTTCTACTACCTGAGCCAGCAGACCACGCGCATCAGCGTGTTTTTGTCACACAGCTGGCAGGGCTCTTCCTGGATGAAAATCCTGACGCTTCTCTTGGTAAACAATATTAGCGTTGCCGCCCTGATTTCCACAGTCTTGGCTCTACTCATGGTTCCGCTCTATGTTGGGGATGTCCTGCCTCAGATCGACAGAGCATGCTTTTGGTCCACAGTCGTCGGGACGAGCGCCTTCATGATTAGCTTCACTGCTTGGCCGCGACTGCATCTTATGTTCGTCGACAAGTGCTGCATTGACCAAGTCGACAAACGTCGAAAGATTTCAGGTCTACTGAGCCTTGGAGCTTTTCTCAAACATTCAGACTCGTTGCTGGTTTTGTGGGACCGAAGTTACACTCGCAGCATCGCGAGCCGCCTCCTGGGGCGCCTGGGCCCCTCGGCTGCTGCGGGGGACACTGAGCAGAAGCAGTGTCCTGCGAAGAGCTCGCTACGGGTTCCAGTGGCAACTCCCAAGCTGCTGGGATGGAGAGGCATGTATTGGCTTCTACTTGTGATGGGCCCAGCGCCAGGAGCTGAAGTTTCGAATGGGCTTTTCGAGATGGGTGGCGATTTGACTGGTCTTGCTTTATTTACGCCAAGGGTTTCCCCTTCGATGGCATTTGATTTTCCGGGCAGTATGATGCAACACTTTGGGAGCGCTGTTGCAGATGATGAGGTCGGTGTGCTTGTGCAGGCGCAGTGGTGTAAGCCGTCAGCGCCATTGACCTCTGCGGAGTCGGCTTCCTACCTCTTCCTCCATGCCAAGGGGGTAGGGCTCTTGGACTCCCTTTGCAACTTTTGCGAGGTTCCCATTGTCACCTCAGGAGCCGGGATTTGCGAGACTTTTGTTACCAGCCGCCCCAGGTGGCGAGCTGGCTTGCTGGGTGTCAGAGTAGGCGAGGCCGCTAATCCGGGCCCTGCTGCAACAGCTACCGAGCACAAAAGGCGGGAAAGAAAGACGCAGGGAGCTCTGATCGCCATCATTGAGCTTCTCTGCACCATCTTGAGGCAGTTTGCTGGTGAGGACCCTTCGGTTTCCATGCAGATTGCGGGAGTCTCAGCTCTCTTGGCGGTGCTCAAAGATGACGACGACGATGCAGACGATGTGCCGCCCTGTCCCCCAAGGCGCGCTGTGTTTGCTGAGGAGCCGGAGATACAGACCTATGAGGCGGAAGGCTCTTTTAAGCCTGTCAGGCGCAAATCGAAGCCGGCGCCAACTGGGGACGTGCAAGGCCCTGCGCCCCCACCTCAGAAAGGGCGAGGAAAGGGCAAACCTGCAGCTGATCCGTCCACTTCTCCATCCGCGGCAGGCACTACCGGCAAGGGCAAGGATGATGCAGCTAAGACCAAGGACTCGGCGCTGCCTCTCCTCCGTGCATGTGACTGGAACTCTGAGATAGTCGGCTATCCGGCGGCGTGCACTCGTCTCAACAGCTTGGGGGGCTCCGTGCTGGTCACCGTGAAGGATGCAGAGCAGGCGGATGCACTCTCACAGATGATGATGAATGCCGGTTCAACGTGCTCGGCGCGCATGCTGTGGCGCGACAAGGACGGGAAGCATCGGCTACCTGTAGACGTTGGTGGGGTCACAAGGCTTGAGTCTTTCTCATCCCACGACTACACTACTGCTGGCACCCCTTTGCCTACCTTGAAGCGGGAGCCCACGACTGCCAAGGTGGTCCCGACCGACCCTACCACCACGGTTTTCCGCATTGTCTTTGCCCGGCCTTTCGTTGACAAGGAGGTGTGGGCAAAGGTCACTTCTACTCCAAAGGCGGCGGTGCAGAAGTGGGGCAAGGCCACGCAGACTAAGGAGACCACTGGGTTCATCAAGGACGCGTGGGCATTCGCCCAAGAGTCCCGGTTGGGACAGCCTGCTGTGATTGGGCTGATACGCCTGCCCATCTCTTTGGCTGAGCAGGTGCTCGCATTGTCGGGCAAAGGTGGAGTGTTCTTGGAACCCACTGGGCGCACTGATACGGTCAAGTGTGCTGTGCAATGGCTGGACAAAGCTGAGGAGGAGACTCTGCAGTCCGTGTTGGAGCGTGCGCTCGACATGGCCCCGCAGTTTGGTGCTTTCCTTGGGAAGCGGCAGATAGGAGTCCGGGTTCCCCTGGGCACTTCGGCTTCTTCGGGATCCATGCGTTTTTTTGCAGTCAATGGCACCCCGGCTGCTTGGAGTGACGAGCTCATCCGCGAGCTTCTCATCGAGCAAACGGACTTGAAGGAGGTCACTGTTTTGCGAAAGACAATGCGCAGAGGACGGGCGAACTGGTTGCTGCGAGCACGAATTGCTGACAATGCTGACTGCTACCAGCTGTTGGTTAAGGAGGGCGAGCACACTGCCACTTACTGGACTATGCTGACACGTCCCGGGCCCGTTCGAGAGGCACGGCCTATCGCCGACCATCGGGGCTTCTCCTTGAGCAAGGGCCAGCCTGAGAATGCCAACAAGCCGGAGCCAAAGCCGGGCAAGTCTGATGGTGATGGCAACCCTCTCAAGAAAGCCGCGGTTGCAAAGAAGCGCCAGATCCCGAATGGTACCACGCTCACCACTGTCGAGGCCGATGGCAACTGTTTCTTCACTGTCATCGGCAAGGCGGTTGCTCGTTTGCGCAAGGAGCCGGAGATGCCGGCAAGTAGAACCAGAGCTGAGATCTGTGCTCACATGAGGAAGCACATCCAGGTGTATGAAGAGTACTGGGACAAGTGCGACAGTGCTGGACAAGAGCTCGAGTTTTTCGATGAGTACATCCAACACATGGGCCTGAATGCCAAGTGGGCGGGAAGCCTCGAAGCTTATGCGGCCTCGAAGGCGTACAAGGTCGCGGTCCTTGTCGTGCCGGCCGCCGCCGACCAGGCCACCGCGATTTACAACGCGGGGGCGCGCGATACGATCGCACTTTGGCATACCGAGGGCCCTGGGCACTTTGACTGGCTGGCGCCAAGCACTGGGGACGGCCTGCCGCGGGACATCGCTGAGAATGCCGAACAGGGTAAGCCAGGACAGGGACCACGCGGGGGAGGACGAGACGACTCCGCCGGGTCCGAGCACACTGTCTTCACCGATGTCACGGCCTTCACTCGTGTTGGAGCAGCCCAGTCAGGCAGGAAGCGTGGCAGCAGCAGCTCCCAGCCGGGCTCTTTCCCACGCGGGGGCTCAGCTTACGACGTGGACTTCGACGACAAGTCTGAGGCCACGGTCTTCACTCGCCGGGAAGGCGGCACAGATGTGGCGAACGAGGATGCGAAGACCGTCTTCACCACCTGCTCTGGCGGGCGACGTGGCAACAGCGCGGCTGACTCTTCGTCTGGCGACATCCGCAAGTGGCTTCTGGCTGGAAGGCGTGCGGGCTCTGAGGCCGTGACTGGGGCCACAACGAGAGGCACGACCGACAACCTTGACTTCGACGAGGCCGATTTGGCGGGGTTCCATGGAGAAAATGCTGCTGAGCCGGCGCCAACGAGGCGGCGGACCTTGTCGGGCTGGACTTGCCCGGAGTGCTTTTGGAAAACAGGCAAAGTCAAGTGGTGGGTTCAAAAGAAGCAAAGGCACATCGACAACTTCCACCCGGACCTCAAGGCTGAGCTGAACTTGAGGACCAACCGCGTGTGCTTGGTTCCCTTCAATCCTGACACCTGCGTTTGGCGCTGCCCGGTTGAGGGATGTGGGCTGGGCCTGCCGGCCACTGAGGCGGACTCGGACGCTCGACTTCGTGCTCGGCGCTACCACTGGGCCACCGACCATCCGGACAAGCCCAAGGCGCTCTTTCTGCTCGCCAAGGGCACCAAGGAGGGGGCGAACAAGGCTACTACGGCCAAGCTCTCTGCAGGTGTTGCCAAGCGGCTGCACCAGCTTCGTGCGGGTGAGGCTGGCGACCACGACGTCACCTTCCTCAAGTTGCCGCCTGCGACAAGTGGGGGGAAAACTGCTGGGGGCAAGAAGCGCAAGCAGCGCCGGGCGATGACTTGGGTTGCGTGCCGGCGGTGCAAGCGACTGGCCAACACTGTGGCAGGCATTGGGAACAAGCCGTGCAAGCCGCACACTGCGGGGGCTAGACGGCCCGCGTTGATAGCACGGCTGCGAACTGCGCTGGAGGAGGCTGAGCTTGATGACGACGTCCAGCGCGATGTCAAGTACCTGCTCGAGCTCTTCGCTGAGGATACCGACGCTGGGGGCCCCGTCGCTAAGCACGACCTCAACGCGGTGGCGTGGCCTTTGGGTGGACGCGACTTCGAGATCCGCTTCGTGTGTGGTGGCTGCGGTGGTGGTTGGAAGCGGCTTCGTGACGCCGAGGACAAAGACTGCTACCCCGCTCGACGCCGCGTCACCACTGGCAAGATCCGTGCGCTCCGCAAGGTCGTCAAGGAGGGCGGCACCCAGGCGAAGGCTGCGACAAGCATCCTCGGCATCCTTGGCGAGACGGACGGGAATGGCTCGGACCAGGCTGCGACCACCGAGCTCGCGCGGGGGCTTGGGTACCATGCCTAAGTCTTCTCTTCGGGTGGGAACTTGCAACGTCCGCTCCCTCACTGGCAAGATGGGGGCGGTCATGGACTTAGCTGCAAATGCCGGTGTCAACTTGCTCTGCTTGCAGGAGACCAAGCTCACGCAGGAGGGGTTGCATGCGATGCGCCAAGCCTTTCGGGCCAAAGGGTGGAAACTCTTACCTGGCCCCTTGGCTGTTGACTCGGCTGGCAAGGCTTCTGGTGGTGTTGCAGTCATCACTGACTGGCCTGTGGAAGTTCTCGAGGTGCCGGTTGCTGCTGCTTTCCCCACTCGCGTCATGGCTGTGAAGGCGCACCGCCCTGCTCAGCGGCCTCTCTTGGTCATTAACGGCTACCTCCCTGCTGCTGATGACCAGCTCAACCAGCACATCGCCTCCACCGTGCTTCGCTGGGCCACAACCTCTGGCGAGGACTTCGTCTTCTTGGCGGATTGGAACCGGACGCCCAACCAGCAGCCTCTGTGCGGTTTCTTGGCGGGTGGCCTTGTGTATGCCATGGACCCCGACCCGTTCCTGGAGGGCAAGGGCACGCACAGACTCGAAAACGGCGACTACACTGGCAGGCTCATCGACTTCGGGCTCTCCTCGACGCGCTTGGCGGTGGACGGTCGAGCGCAGCATCTCGGCCCGGCTGACCATGACCTTGTCACCTACGATGTGCACTTGCTCAGTGGCCGGCGTGGCTGGCGTTGGCAACCTCAGCTTCGGCTTGATGAGGACAAAAAGAACGTTGACTGGCAGGCGCACTGGCACAGCTTGGACGCTTCCTTTAAGGTGGCCCTTGACGAGAACGACACAGAGACTGCGTGGCGCTTGCTTTCAGGCGCTGCTGAGGCAGCCTTGGCGCAGGACGGTGCGCGGCCCGCTAAGCCCCGCGGGGTCCCCGGCAAGCCGCTGCTCACTGAGGCCCACGCGGGTAAAACCCCTTCTGTGCAGACCCTGCGCGAAAGGAAGCTTCGCAGGGCTGCGCGGCGTGCAAAGGCAGTGTTGGAAGGCAGTGCTCCACCTGATGGGAGCTCTAAACTCTTGAAGTACCTGCAGCACCTGGCGGACGTGTTCCCGGACCTGGGCCAGGTGGTACAACTTCGTGGCTCTGCGCTTCTTGCTTTTTGCTTGAAAAGGCGGCGGAAGAGGAGGCAAGGGCAAACCGTGCGCGTCTTGATAAGTGGGCTACGGATGTTCAGACGGACCTCCCTAGGCTGGCAAGATGGGTGAAGGCTTCTGCTGTTGAGAGGCCGACTGCTTTTGAGGACTTTGCGGAGGACCCGGACCCCCAGGCAAAGGCCGAAGCTGCGGCAGTGGTTTGGGGTGACAGGTGGAACAGGCTTCGGCGTCCTGATGGTGCTGCTCTCCATCGGCTTCTTGGCGAGCTCGACATCACGGCTGCGCAGGCCCCTTCCCTTCGCTTGGAGGGCCACGCTTTGCTGCGGCGGGCGAAGGCCACTGCACGTAAGGCTCCTGGTTGCGATGGCTGGGCGGGTCGGCACTGGCGCCTGCTCTCTGAAGACTTCTTCGACCTGCTGGCTGCTGTGTGGAACGCCGTGCTTGGGGGGGCTCCCATCCCTCAGGCGTGGACTCAAGTGCGGATTTGCCTCATTCCGAAAGGCGATGGTGGCTCTCGTCCTTTGGCCATTGCCTCGCTCGCTTGGCGGCTGGGCGCGGCCTGTTTGGTGCAGCAGCTGGGTGAATGGATACGGCAAGTTTTCCCCAAGGAGCTCTATGGCGGCTTGCCCGACCGGAGCGCCGACGATGTGCATGCAGAGCTCACGCAGGCGATGTACGTGCAGCGTGGCGGTGGTCCTTTGGCGGGATGCAAAGCGGACGTGAGAAGATGCTTCGACAGCGCCTCTCCGGACCTGGCTCTTCAGTGCTTGCGCCAGATGGGTGCGCCGGCGCCATTGCTCGATGTGATGGGGAGGTTCTATGACCAGCAGGAGCGCTGGATCATGGTGGACGGGGCCACGTGTCGGCGTCCTCTTCGCGCTTGCGGCTCCCTGCTTCAAGGGTGCCCAGTTTCGCCACTCTGTCTCGGCGCCATGATGGTGGTCTGGGCGGCGACTGTGCAGAGGGCCAACACCGGCGTGCAGCTGGCCATCTACATCGACGACCGCACAATGTGGGTTCGCAAACGTTGGGGAGCAGCACGTGCTGTTCGTGATGCCATGATGGCGGGCGCCGTGGCCGACGATGCGCTTGGCTTTACCCTCCACCCCGAGAAACTGGAAAGTTTTGCCACCACTCAGGCTGTGCGCGAAGACCTCCTGGGCCTTGCTGACATCGTTGGCATACCTCAGGTCACCTTCACATTGCTTGGCATCCCTTACAATACCACCCGTGCCGCTCCGGTGGCTACTGCTGGCGTGGCGGCGACCTTGATGGCGCGTTGCAAGCGCATCCAGAAGTTTGGCGGCAGCCGCAGCCTCCGCTGCGTGCTCCTCAAGAAGCTGGTCATCCCGCTCTTCAGGTGGGCGGCGCCTTGGCTCAGGTTCTCCAAGAAGCTTTTGGCTACATGGACGGCGGCTATCGAACGGGCGGCTTGGGGGGGGGGCATCCCTCGTGGGCGCTCGCCGGCCCTCGCCTGGCTGACTGTGGTTGGCGTGGATTTGCTCCCCGCGTACGTCTGTGCCGAGACGGCTGTGCTTCGTGAACATCGGCGCCTTCACTTGCAACGTCACAGCTCGGAGGCCACCTTCACGGCAGAGGCTTTTAAGGCGGTGGACTGGAAGCGTGGCGACGATGGCACTTGGACCACCCGCCATGGGTGCTTTCGCGCAGGGGCCATCAGTGCGGAGGGGCTGCGCAGACAACTTCGGCTGGCTTGGGCCCGCAAGCTCTTGCTCAAGGACAACAAGACCAAGCAAGAGGGTGGTTTCGTTGGCGACTTTGACCTCGCGCACCACTTGACAACGGGCCGACATGTCGACGGCTACAAGGCTAGGGTCATGGCGGGTGCGGCGGCGGACTCTCGCCACTTGGTGGAAAAGGGGGGCACGGCTGCGGACTTTGTCTGCGACTGCGGGAGACGGGGGCCTACGCGCTCCCACCTCACCTTCGAGTGCTCTTCGGCTCCTTGGACATTGGAACTTCGCTCAGCTTTGGAGCGCCGGCTTCTGCTGCCTTTGGGGCCGTCTGCTCCTCGTTGGGATATGGCGGACTACGAGGCGGATGTCGCCAAGTTGGTGCAGCACTTGGCTGGCTTGGACGCGACGCAGGTCCACTACGTGGCTACAGACGGTGGCTGTGCACTGGCTCGCGGGGCGGAGTTTTGGCAGCGCGCTGCTTGGGGCGTGGCTTTTGAAAATGGTGAGTTCGGCGGCTTGGTCTTGGGGGCAGAGCAAACGGCGGCAGAAGGCGAACGGGTCGCTGTGTACCTGCTGGCCATGGCTCTCCTGCAATGTGGGCGCAGTATTCGTTTGCTGGTGGACAATCAAGCAGTTGCTGGGCGTCTTCGGCGCGGCCGCAAGGCGTGTGAGAACGGTGATCCTTGGGCTCTTTGGCGCGTCATTGCTGACGCCGTTCACCTGCTGGACGTAGCCTGGGTGCCTTCACACGGCAAGAAGCCTCTGTGGGGGCCGCCGCCAGATTGGCTTGATGGTGTGGCGTGCCGTGCGCTCAACGCACGAGCCGATGCGGCGGCGACCCAGGCATTGGATGCTGTGAGAGCTGTGGTGGTGGCTTCAGTGCGTGCGGCAAAGGAAAGGCGGGCTTGGGCGGCTGCTGCCGTGGCCGCTCAGATGAGGGCTACGCAGCCCTGGCACGTGAAGTTCGTGGAGAAGATGCGGGTTCTGGCGTTTCGGCGTCGGGCCACTTGATGGGAGGCACTCGTGGTGCACACTGGCGATGGGCGTTTTCTTGACTCCCGCTTGGGAGCTTCTTTAAGCTGTTTGCAGCCGGACGGGTGGCGTCTAGACAACCTTCCTGGTCTCAGTCTGTCGTCTTTTTCGTTAACAACAACAACACCGAAGTTACACTCGGCGCCTCTGGTGCTTGTTCGAGCTTGCCGCATTCCTGCATAGCCACCCTGAAGATGTTCAACACCAGGTGGTGATCCGACCTACCATCCTAGGACCTTTATTCTCCTCGGCTGCACTGACATCCATGTGCTTCAGTTGGGGAGTGGTTCTCATATCGCATGTTCTGCAATATACGTCTGTTCATTTCTTCTGGCTTGTGCTATCCGCCATTTTCTTCGTGGTCGAAATCCCGATCGCGAGCACAGTGAGGCGATACCATCGGGACGTCGGTGCCATGCGCTGTTGTCTGGCAAGCTTCCACTTGGATCAATCAGAGAGCCTGTGCTGCACCCTAAATCACAGGCACCCCCTGTCAAACACTGCGATGATGTGTGACCGGAAGGTCGTGCAGAAGTGCATCGAAGCATGGTTTGGCAGCGTGGAAGCTTTTCATGACTATGTGCGCAGCGACGTTAGCAAGGCTCTTGCCCACCAGCTTTCCAACGATGTGATGTCATATTGGCGCATCGTGGAAACCTTCTCACCTGTCTTCTGGTGTTTTTTGGACCAGTTAGCAAGCAACCTCAAATCACCTTTCTTGGAGGATGAGACCACGCCTCTGGACTCGATGATGTATTTCGTTCTTCGTGGTTTCGTGTGGTGGCTGGCAATAATTCCCTCAGCTATCATGATTATGTTTCGTGTGACCCACAAGCTGCAGAAGGAGCATTCCAGGCCATCCTTCGATATACTGAAGTCCACCTGCATTGTGCTAGTTGGACTTTTGCTAACGGCTGCCTACGCAGCTTTAGATGCCTTGCCTAACTGGTATATGACTGGCCCTTACTCGGTGAGATCTTTGCCCCTGGCAGTAGCATCGTTCGCCATTCATTCGATTGTTTGGCGTTGCCTGCCACCTCTTGAACCAATGAGCCAGCCTGTATGCCAACCCAACAGATCGAATTCAATAGAGAAGGATCCTAAATGATCCGGATGCAAGTTTATTAAATTGTGTTTACATACTTTGGATTTAAGGTACTGCTGGGAAAAAGAGACAAAGCGTGAGACTAGATTCTGCCCGAGCAGTCGCCTCCATGACAGCGTGATGGTGGCCGTTCTCTCTCGCACGCGCTCAGGCCAAAGTTGTTCGACGTGGTGGCGCTGAGCCCGGATGCCAACGACATCTTTGGCCCCTTGAAGAATGGGGTCGGGGACCCTGGACCGCACTCCCCCTCCTCCCCCCGCCCCCGTCCCCCCAGTGAGGCGATCCCTGAAGTCGACAATGACAAAAGGCCCTGGCTAGCCGTGCTCTGGATTGAGGCGACGGGCGAAATCAGCATGATTGACAGCTACGGTGCTCTCCTGAGCTGCTGTGATTTTGCATCACACATGGTAGCATCGCGGCTGTGCTGTGTTGTGGCAGCTGGGCTGTGCTCGAAAGTGCAGCAGAAGCCGTGCCCACGGAAATGAGTAGCGGCCCTTCACACCCCAACCCCCAGAAGCCATCCCTCGTAAGCTGCATGCAGGGGAAGCGCTGGTGCACGTTCCGAACCGCCACGAGGCCGATTTCAGTAGATGCAACAGAAGGCCGTCAGGACCTCGTCGCATGTCTTCGGAGCAAGGACCTCTTGTTTCACGCTTGACAATGTGGTGTTTCTTCTTGGAATAGAAGGGTCTGGACTTTGATGTCTCATAGAGCTTGCTTACTCGACGAAGCCTTGTGCAGTGCAATTCATTCTGCACTCTGCACACCGCTGCCCCACTCGGTTCGGTTTGGTGCTCCCTTGGCCCTCCATCCCAAGTTATCCGCCAAGGAGCGGACCATAGCAGACCCCCTAAACCCTAAACCCTAAACCGTGACTTTGACCAAGCCTAAGCCTGACGGCTAGGCGACTGGAGTCTACTGGTACTCCTTCCGGGATATCATCCTCGCCGCCAAGGATGGGAAGGAGGCCCGGAAGTGCCGAAACTGCAAGCTCATACAATGGGCGCTTATGTTTTAGGAAGGTTTGTAATTTATAGTCGTTTTCTAACGGGTCCCGAGTCCCAGGGATCTTTGCTGAGAATATGGGGTTTGCCCAGGGCCTACCTGGTGTAATTTTGGGGTTTGCAGGTCTGATACAAGGTTTAGATGGGGGTGGGGCCCTTTCAATTGGATACAGATGCAGCCCTGCAATGTTGTGTTTAGCTTAGCATACTGTATGACCCCGAAGAATGCAAAGATTCCGGCGGAAAAAAAACTACAAAAACATCTGCTGCTCGATTGTTCCCCGATTCTTAGGGGGTGTCCGAGATCGTGGGAAGTCTTGCCGCCAGGGACTCCGCAGAACCTGCAGTCACCCTAAACCCTAAACCCTAAACCCTAAACCCCAAACCCTAAACCCTAAACCCTTAGGTTTGTCAAGGCTGTGAGCCCATAGCCTTAATGCCTGAAGTTTCAAGGCCTCGGGCCCGCTTTGACGAGGTAAACGAGGCCCCAAGCAGTTTTCTCAATTACAAAGCATCAAGCCCAGAGGTCCCCTAAACCCTAAACCCTAAACCCTAAACCCTAAACCCTAAACCCTAAACCCTAAACCCTAAACCCTAAACCCTAAACCCTAAACCCTAAACCCTAAACCCTAAACCCTAAACCCTAAACCCTAAACCCTAAACCCTAAACCATAAAACCTAAACCCTAAACCCTAAACCCTAAACCCTAAACCCTAAACCCTAAACCCTAAACCCTAAACCCTAAACCCTAAACCCTAAACCCTAAACCCTAAACCCTAAACCCTAAACCCTAAACCCTAAACCCTAAACCCTACACCCTAAACCCTAAACCCTAAACCCTAAACCCTCGGTGAGGGATCCACGTCGCTGCCGTAGAGCTCATAGAAGGAGTCAACTCCTGCTCTTTGGAGTTTACAGTTTACAGTCAATTCCAAAAAGTTGGAACATCCTTTTCCCCATACCCAGAGGGTATACTAAATAAAGGGAATCCCAGCTCTAGTCATCCTTAAACCACGCAAAACCAACGCCACCAATCTGAACTCCCTCCAAAGCCTAAATCCCTGCTGTTTCTACTACATCCCACTTTTTCAGGCTTCCTCGATGACCACGGAGGTGGGCAATCAATCATCACCTGGGATTCAGGGTTTAGGAAACATGGTCGGTCTTTGTGCCGTCGGACTCATCGTCTTTTGCTTTGCAGCCTTACTGAAGATGCCTCGGAGCAGATGTTCGAGCTCAAAAGTCTCGGAAGGAGTTATGGAACGTATTCATCGGGCGTTCACCCCGAAAAACCAAGCCCAGCACTCATTTGAGTTTTAAACCCTAAACCCTAAACCCTAAACCCTAAACCCTTTGTACCGCAGCTAGGAGTGGCAGCAGATGCCCTCCGTGCGTGCCGCTCTCATTTGAACTCCTGGAGCCAAGCTTCGGGTTCTGTAGGAACTTTAGGGTTTCGGGGTATTCTAGGGGGTTTAGGAACTTTAGGGCTTAGGGTTTAGGGCCTAGACGACCTAGGCCTAAGGGGGCTTTCGGAGTTTTCGAGTTTAGCGCCCAGGAGCTTAGAAAAATGGTTCGGAGGCCTGCGATGCAGGGTTTTCGTAGGGGGGGTCAGGGCAGATTTTGTGAGTGCGAGGCTTGTTGGTGCTGGATCAGGCGTATGAACCAACCCCCAAATCTCAACTCTGCACTTAGTGGCTACAAGCCCTGAACTCCAAGCCCCTAAAGGCCGAACTCTGTCCAAAGCCTGATGTCTAAAGCCTAAGCCCTACCCTTATCCCTTGGTCGCGAAGTGCCCGAGCATGTAGCAAGGTGCCAACTACGTTATGCTAGAGCCGCCTGAAGCTGAGAGGGCCAAGACTGGGTGTTGGAGGGGGGGATGTCTATGAGTCTACTACAGTTTTGTTGTAACCAGGGTTCCTAGGGCTGAGGGTTTCAAGGCTGCGAGGTCTACGGTCCAGGGGCACGAGATCTTTGAAGGGGATCTTCAGCCATTGGTGTCATCCAGAAATGTCCGCCAATAAGCTCAGAACCCTGCACTCTGCTTCATTATCTGATGGTGGAGGACTGCCACGAATCCAAGTTGACGTGACTGCCTCAACACTCCCAAAAAACTCAGAACAGACACGCTTTGTCGTGTTGGTACTAACTTCTTGTATGCATACAGAGTGGAGTTGATCCCTACACCTCAGAGCAGGCCGCCTAAATTGCTCAACCTCCCTGAGGCCTGGGCCCCCTCCCAGCCCCATCCGCCCCGACAACCAGTGGGCGGCCAGGGGACGCGGCGGCCTCGGAGGATACTACAGGGTTTAGGATTTCGGTCCCCTGCCGCGGATGCCTCTGAGTGTCTCAGACCACAGCACGCAAGTGCGGGCCGAGTTAGAACCCTCTTCGCCTTCCCTCCCTTGAGGCTATGGAGAACCCACAAAGTTCCATGCCGCTCCAAAACCCCAACGCGCCGGAAAGCTTGCCGAAGCGATCTGAGGCTTGGATGCACGGAACCTGCAACTGGACGTGGAGGGCGAAGGCGCGGCATGGCAACTTCCAGTAACAAGGTTTCTGGGCTTGAGAAGGGTCTCAGATTCTCAGGCTACGTTCGTCACAGTCCCGAGGCTCATTATGATGGGGATTGATGGGGTATTAGGCGACTGCCCGGTGCGCAGGGGGCCGGTCGGCTGCTTATGCGGATGCGAGCCTGGTCATTGAAGAGGGCCAGGCGCTCCTTCCTCCATGTCTTGCACTGCAGGTTTGGGCATAATTACTAGCCCCGAATGTTGGCTGCTTGGGGAGCTTCCTTGAGAAGTTGTTGTTACCATGTCTTTGCTTGGCTAGTACGTCCGCTGACTTTTGCAGCCCTCTCTTGTTTCAAAAGCGTTTCATGTGTTGTACGAAGGGCTCATCATGGTATGCGGTCTTCCAGCCCTTTAGAGCAGGTGCCGGAGCTGAAGGGCACCTGGCGTGCTGAGGATGGCTCCAGAGGCACTTTCCAGGGCCTGAAGGCGGCGGCGGGTGGAGCGTCGGTTTTGGGTGATCGGTATCGGCTTTGACCCCAAACCCCCAACCCGAACCGTGAATACTCCAGTGCCAAACCACGACCAAGAATTTCAGCGGGGCTCTGCAGGACTCACAGCCATGGCTCCTTGAGGTAGAGTGCGCACATATTCTTGCAAATTATCATGCTTGATCATATAAAAACTAGACAGGCTTCTCGGCTAGCAGGTGTGCCGCGAGTCGCGCGTCGGAGGCATCTGGCGCTTTGAGCTCCAGGCACAGGGCGTTCATGGGCGCTCACGCTTTTGTAGCTTCTAGGGCCCATGGAGTTAAGGGTTTATCACGGGCGTGTGTTTTTTAGGGGTTTTCATAAGGGCTTCTGCTTGGAGCCATGTTTAGGTGGCTCGGATGCTGAGAGGGATCCCTGCCATTGAGTGCTGGGGTTCCTTGCCGCTCCCCCCCAGACCAACATCTAAAACAACATACTGCCGCTATACACCTGTCTGTAGATGTATAATATATATATATATATATATATATACTGATATTGATACTGATACTGATATTGATATCAGCATGTATACTCCTTTATGCAATTCAGATGTAGACGAGCCACCAATCGCCTTCGAACTGCGGGAGCTCATGGATATTGCCCGAAGTTTTCGAGTTTCATGGTCCGGTTGTCGGATGCCTTGCTTAGAACGCATCCAGGCCCTCCGCAAAACCGGTACCAATTCTAACTTTTCTCGGCTTCGGCTTTCTAAGACTACTCGGGCAACTTCGAAAATGCCTGAGGCAGGCGGCGATCCAATCGAGCATGCATGGAATGCCTGGCTGACGGCGCACCCGGCTAAGAGCTCAGCTCGCAGACAGTCGGGGGTGTGTACCAGCATCTGCCGACGTGCTGTGCCTGGTACCAGCTGACGGGGTGCCACGCGTGCGAACCGTTTCTGCATGGCTCGTGCTAGCTTATGCCATTTTATGATTGACTTTTCTTGGGATTCCTTGGCACTCTGGCAGGCTAATATGACCATCGCGAAGATAGTTACTTACCCGAAACCCCTATGGCGCTGGCCGCATTATTCCATGTGCTTGATCGTCAACTGTCCTAAGCCCTTTCAGACCCCGAACACCCTCTCAGTAAACCCCTCAACGCTCTAAACCCAGAGCTCCTCGTGGCATGGCTAAAATGCGCACTGCTCCCGAGGCCGACAGCCATGGAGATGCACGAGCTTCGCATCTCCTTCGAGTCACCGGAGCGGCGCTGGCGCCGTTCTCAGCACGTCCCGCGCATTTCACAGAAACACGGCAACACGGCTACAATAGCCGTAACGGTGCATCCTGAACCTCACATCATTAATTAGGACCTAAATATTTAGGAGCATGACAACTTCGACAGCTCTCGAGCCAGTGCGCTTTGGTCACTTTCGGCTGCTTGGAATATCTTGCAAGAACTCCGCGGGAGAGGAGCGTTTATTGAACCACCATGGCAGATCCCAGATCTCGGCGAAAGAGAGAAGCAGTTGAAGCTGTGCTGCTTCAGATTGCTGTTGGAGGGAGTTGCGGGGCTGCCCGGCTGGTTGCTGAAGTTGTATTCCCAAACACAATGCATGGGTTCACCCAGAAATTCCGGGATCTGGGCTTCAGTTATAAAAGAAGTTCGTCATGGAGGGAGATTCAGTTCAAACCTGTCAGGCCGGGCCAATTCTTAGTGAGAAGGAGACGGCCGCCTGGCATGCACCAAGGAACCTGGAGGTTCATGGGTACGTGTAACTGGGATTCATGAGTAGTGGGGCTATAGGGCATCTATTGTAGTACCCTCCTTAAGCTTGAAAGTTGCAGTGCCCATGAACCGGCTTCTGATGTGGATTTCCAGCATGCCCCTTAGCCCTGAAACATCTTGTCCACCCCGGGTCTAGTGCAACGGGTACTCCCTGTAAGTACTTAAACTTGCTATGTTGTAGGGTTGGGGGGTTGCAGATAAACTCCCGACTTGTGCACTGGAGAGACGACCAAGGTGGAGAGCCATCCCCTCCTGTCAGGCGAGTACAACTCTCTGACCAGGTGCTCTGGTGCAAAGGTTTGAGGTTGGGACTTCAAGCATTCGAGCCTGTGTCAGTGCTGTAGGTGTGGGTGTCCTTTCTCTTGCGGGACTGATGTGCAAGGCCAAGGTCAGAGCAGAATCTTGAAGCCACCCTAAACCCCTCCTAACCATCACACTGGGGGGCGGGGGGGGGCATTGGGGTTGTTGGCTGCCAGCGATATAAAGGGCCTTCAGGCGCGCAGCCCAGAAGATCTGGCAATAAATTTCAGGGCTTATTGGGTTTATTGGGCTTCAGGCCGGCTGAGAGTAAGATGTGCTTTAAGCTTGAAAGTTGTGTGTCTTGGGCATTCCGCTGAAGGCGGGGTTGACCTGGTGAGCACTGGGCCTTCTGGGTCAGGGAAGGATGTAGAATTGCAAAGGCAGCGCCTCCTTCTTTCCAGCTGCGCGAGTCGTTTCTTGCATCTACTTGCATACCCTAGCAAGGTCAAGGGCCCAGGTTACGCTACATATCAGGTGTGGGGCCCATCACTGCATCCCAGAGCTTTGGGCGTTTGAGGGCTTCTTTAGGTTCGCAATCATTTATCGCGAAGCCTTGGCCCCAACACCTGAGCCCGAAATCACCGGATGACTACCCAGAAGAGGGCGCAGGACTTGCATAGGCTATTCACTATAGGGAGGAACGGGTGGTCGCTTAATACCAAAGTCGGAGTCGCAAGCCCTAAACCTTCAGAGCTGATGGGCAGGTCTCTGAAGCTCTCCATGTCAACTGAAGGCCCCGGGACGACCGACACCGACACACACACACACACACACACAGACACACACACAGACACACACACACACACACAGACACACACACACAGACACACACACAGACACACAGACACAGACACACAGACACAGACACACAGACACAGACACACAGACACAGACACACAGACACAGACACACAGACACAGACACAGACACGATTCTTTGGAAACCGCAGGGTTCCTAGGATATTTTGATTAAGCGAGAGAGGCTGGAGCCGAGCATGGCAAAACCTCTCTGTGCTACGCATGCGCACTCCTCTTTCTCTGTATGCAGTTGCTCAGCGAATGGGAGGGTGGTGGGAGCTGCTGCGCGGCAGCTGAGCTCAGAGTGAGCCTTCGCTGAGTCACTTGCCTTGCGTTTCTTCCTGCTGTGTTGGCGCTGTGCCCTCAGAGCCCTGGACATGCTTGGACAGGGGGGTAACAAGGGCCAGGACTCCATGGCAGGATGCATTGCAGAAGCGGCCGCTTTTGACGGCCATTTGCAGTACTGTCGCAGAATGGTGAGCGCTTCTATCTTCAAGCCAACTTGGGAGTTGCTTCGACAGCCACATGCGATTGAGCTCCTTGCGCAAACGCCGATTGGACCTGTGGGTCCGATGCCTGTTTTGTACGGAGATCTACTCGGGAGCACCGAGGAAGCAGAGGGAGTGATTGAAGCGCAGCAGTTTAAGATCCGCCGAGTCACGTGTTCTACTTTGTCATGGGAACAAAGCTTGGCTCGGTACATGGTTGCAGCGATTCGCAAATGGGTTGGAGTCATCTTGACCCACCCTCCTGCGTTCGATCTGGGCAGGAAGCTCAACAAGATTGAACCTCTTGGAGCCACCTTACATTCCGGCCTCCTTGATGTTTTTGCTGGCAAGGCTGCTGGAACTTTGCATGGCCGTGTTGGGCCTATGCTGCGTTTCGTTGCTTGGTGCAACGATCAGGGCATTACAGCTTTTCCGATCCATGAGCAGAGTGTTTATGACTTTGTGCGTGCCAATGAAGATTGCTCGGCCCCTACATTCTTGAGGAGTTTTCTCGTCAGTTTGTCATTTTGTCACCACATGTTAGGCCTCCTGGGAGCCCATGAGGCCGTGAAGAGTCTGCGCGTCGTCGGTGTAACGCGGCGTGCTTACTTACGTAAGAAGAAGAAAGTGCAGCGACCGCCGCTCACTGTGGCTATGGTAGATGATCTTGAGCGCTTCGTGTGTGAACAAGGCGGTTCCGTTCAGGACCAAATCGCTGCTGGCTTCTTTCTTCTTTGCGTCTTCACGCGGGGACGATATAGCGATTGCCTGAACTTGCAAGAGCTTGTGGTTGACTCGCCTGACCTTGCTGCCAGGCCGTTACTCGGGTATGTTGAGGGTTCTGTGTCGCGATGCAAGACCGCGTATACAGTTGAGCGGAAAACGCAACTTTTGCCCATGGTCGCGCCGCGGCAAGGTGTGTCAGGCCTTGACTGGTTCTCCGCTTGGTTGGAGTTGAGGAAGCGTGCAAGGGTGCCTGTGGGTGCTGGGGTGCCTTTACTACCTGCTCCGAACGGGGAAGGGTGGCAGCGCGTCCCGCCGACTGCAGCCATGGCTGGTGATTGGCTGCGCAACATCCTGAAGAGTCGCGGTCACGACGGAAGTCTGGTTTCTCGCATTGGTACTCACTCGTGCAAGACCACAACGCTATCTTGGATGAGCAAGGCTGGTGTGGATCTACCGACGCGGAGGTTACTTGGGTATCACGCGCAGGCTGACGAGCGCACACCTTTGGTGTATTCTCGTGATGCGATGTCGGGGCCAGTGCGGGCGTTGGAGGGCGTGATCCTGATGATTCACAAGTCAGAGTTTTTGCCTGATGCTTCTCGTTCAGGTTACTTCCCGAAAGCGGTGAAGCCGCCAGTGCCCGCTCCTGATGATGATGAGTGCTCCGACAGTGAGGATTCGGCGGATGAAGAAGACAACCAAGAAGACTTGGATAAGACTGATGCGGCCGAACAAGATGTTGTCGGCGAGTGGAGGCACATCAATGAGGCCGCAGGCGGGAGCGCCGGCGAGGCGCCTGTCTTCCGCAACAAGCTCTCGAGGACGATCCACCGAGTGGTGGACGGAGCGGAAGCCAAGTTCCGCTGCGGGAGAGCCAACTCAGCGAACTATTCTAGACTGGGAGCCTTGCCAAAGTTCGCGTATCCGATGTGCAAAGGCTGCTTCAATGTCTAGTCTAGTTGGCGAGCCCAAGTGCTCGCTATACGCCGAGGGGTGTGTCACTGAGTCCGGCGGCGATCGCCGTGTGGTCATGGCCTCGAGCGAGCCCATGGAGCATATGACGTGAGGGTGCGCGTGTTGCCAGAGTTGGCAAAACAAGTGAGCTGGTGCTGAGAGTTCAGCAGAGACCTTGCAAGGGCTCACAAGAAGGGTCAGTGGACCCGTGAGCTGCGAGCGCAGCATGTTAAGTGCTCGAGTGGGCTCAAGCAGAAGCAGCATCATTGAGATTGATCTTGCGTGATCCTTGACTAGGAAGATTGCAGCGTGCGCTACCTTGCTTCAACGTTGCGTGCAGTCTCGTTTCTAGGTAACTGTGCTTTGCTTTTGCTCTGTTTGCTGCTGGGTTGCGTGTAAGTAGCCTGTCGACTTTCGCCGCCATGTCTGTGACTGATAGTACCCCGAACTTTCGAGCTCGTGCGACTTCGCTTGGCCTTGCAGGTGATGTGTTGGACCTCATCGTGGACTCCGGCGTCAACGCTCTTGCAAAGTATGCTTTCAGTAGTTCGTATGTACCTGGCCAGCCCGACGAGTCCCCTTTTGTACGGGCCATAAAGGACATGCTAAAGCGCGATGCCACAGTAGGAGAACTGGCAGTGATGCGACGACTGTTACATGAAGCGTACAGCATGGCGTCTGCAGAGCTCCGTCAGTCCGTGGAGAGATCCGAAGATGCACCCACAAAGAAACTTGCGCAGCCCGAGAGGGCAGATCGCTTGGCAAAGCAGCAAGCAAGGCTTGCAGGCCTAAAGATCGAGGGCGCCCTCGAGCCCGCGGATCGGCTCATTGACTTGATGGTGGCGCAATATGAAGAGAACCGCGTTTCACATGTCGAATTGTCAAGATGCATCAGCAAAGAGCAAGAAGTTCTTTCCGCGTCGAGCAAGGAAGATCGGCACTTGACGATCGACAGCGCAGGCACTGTCAGGATCAAAGGTAAAGAAACCCACCTGAGTGCCGACCTGTCGTCCGACTTGCTGTTGCGGTACGCCTTGACACGGCGGGGGCTTGCCTGTGATCAGGCTAATCTCTTGGCCTTTTCGCACCATGACGCGTGGACTGAGCGGCTGATGAGAGCTCGTCTTGAACCGCCGCCCCCAAACTATGCCCCAATATCGCAAGCGCAGGTCATTGCCGCAGACAGGAAGCTCTGGGTCAAACTAGCTGAACTCACTCGCGCAGGAGTTCAGGTCACTGCTGCAGGACGCCCTCTTGACGCAGTTTGGGCGCAGGCGTGCGATCATCCGGATGTGTTGCATCTGTTGCAGCCCATGCCTGTGGCGTGTGGATCGACACCCCTCTTCCGGTTTGGCAAGGGTGAAGGCGCCGAATCCAAAGGGTCGGGCAAGTTCAGGGGTGGTCCTTACGGGCGTGGAAAGGGTGCTGGTAAGTCCAAAGGCGGAGGTTTCGTTCCAAAAGCCTTGGAAGGAGGCGTCAGTTGCACCACTCAGGGCCATGCGTTGTGTTTCGGCCACAACCTTGGCACTTGCAAAGAAAAGGTCGAGAGGCAGCGTTGTTCCAAAGGATTGCACTTGTGCTGCTTTCCAGGTTGTTTCGGAAACCACAGATTTCTGGATTGCCCAAAGCGCGGTGACAAGCGCGAAGCTGCTGAGTGACTATCAGCTGAGTTGTCGGGGCCTGGGGTGACGGCGCCGTCAGATGGTGAGGTATTTTCCGTGGACCCATCGTTGGCAGATCGCAAAGAATTGTGCGTTGTGCCGCTGCCTTGTCCAGAAGAGACGAGTAGCGTGTCTGCGCATCGCAAGGCGGATGCCCAATGCGTTGTTGAAAGCGCATCAATCCCTCTTAGCTCTAAACCATTAGGTAGCCCTCTTGTTGGAGAGGTTGGTGATAGTAGTTCCTGTTCCCACTGCTGCCTGCGTTCCCGCGAGGTTGATGCGTTCCCGAATTCCACCTCGTGTAGTGAGGTGTTACCTCGCGTTGAAACATCTCTGTCGGATCGGCCGCGCTTGGGTGGCAGGGGGCAAGTGTCGTGTCAAGTTCCGCGTAAGGGCTTGGTGCTTGAGTTGTGTGCCAGAAGCGCTACACTGTCAAGCTGTTTTGCAGAAGCTCGGTTTGAAGTGCTCCCTGTTGATCACCAAACCAATCGGTACCATACTCTTGCAAAAACGTGCAATCTGAGCCTCGCCGAGGAGTCGTCTTGGGAATATCTTCGATGGGTGTGCGAGACTTTCCCAGTGCAGTTTGTTCATGCAGCTCCCCCGCATGGTACTTGCGCCAAGAAGCGAGTGAGCGTGAGGGGTTTGGATCGTGCGCCTGTCCGTAGCGAAGCCTGGCCGTGGGGTTTCCCTGATCTGTCTAGCGCTGACAGGGCTCGTGTTGATTGCGCCAATGCAATCCTTAAGGGCTTGGTCAGTTTCATTTCCTTCCTCGATGCCAAGGGCATCTTGTGGTCACTTGAGAACCCCAAAACCTCAATGTTGTGGGAGTTGCCACCTTTGCGTAGCATACTTGAGAGATCGCATTCTTTCTGCTTGCAGGCGTGTGCGTACGGTGGGCCGCGACCCGGCTGGCGCATGTTTGTGACAAATGTACCAGGCCTGCGTTCTTTAGCCGCCTCCTGCCCTGGGGGGCACGTGCATCAGCACTTCTTGTGCGAGCGTGGTGGCAGTGAGGATGCAAATTATCCACGTCCCTTGTGTGTGCAGATCGTTCAACAAGTTTGTCTGGCTCTTGGTGTACCAGCTTTAGATGAGCCCAGCGCAGCACCTGTACATGCGTCGCATGCAATTACGGTAGCCGCTTGCAAACAGCCGCGGGGGCGTCATATACCCCCTGTCATGTCAGAATTTGCGGACATCACTTCTTTGGACCTGGATCGAGTCCCGCCTGTGAACACTAAGCGTCGCTTGTTGACTGCGTGTCGTCATGTGCCAGCCGGCTCCAAGCTGCTGTCTTTTGTCAAAGTGGGGGATGAGCAGGACAGCAGCTTTAGGTGCTTCTTTGGCTGCTATCGCACCAAGGAAGTGTTTCTGCGTGAGGCCATGCGTCTAGTTCATCCATTCGACAAGTTCCTGCCTTTGCCAGATGAGGTCAAGAGGACCCTGTTCGCTACCTTGTGTCATGGCCCCGCGTGGATTGCAGCGCGCCGTGCAGAGACTTTAGGCAAATGGACGTCGTGGGCGGCAGATCTTTTGCCCAAGGATTTGGAGCTGCGTTCGAGTCTTGAGCCCGGGGTTCGTAAAGTGCTCAAGTCAAAGCGTTTGCTGTTGCTTCAGAGGATTGCCGAGGACATTGATTGGCCTGATGCTGGGCTGTTTCAGCAGATCCAGGAAGGCTTTGAGCTGGTAGGGAATCAAGGGCCCTCGGGCGTCTTTGCAACGGAGTTGCGTCCCGCTCAGCTCACCGTGTCGCAGCTTGACGATCTAGTAAAATTCATGAAGCCAGCCTTGTTAGGGAAAGTTCGCTCCGCAGATCTTGACGATGATGCGCAGTTGCTGTGGGACAAGACTATGCAAGAAGTGAGCGAAGGCTTGCTGGAGGGTCCCCTCACAGTGCAGCAAGTCGAAGAGAGATATGGTGGGGCATGGATCCCAGTTCGTCGCTTTGGCGTGTGGCAATCGTCTTCAGGCAAGCAGAAGCTCCGACCAATTGATGATTATTCGGAAAACAAGGTTAATCTAGCTTTTGGTTACGCTGATAAGATTGATCTGAGAGCTTTAGATCAGCTTGTTTGCTCGGTGCGTTTGTGGATGCAGCAAGTCCTTGCTGATGGCAAGGTGGCCATTGAGTTGTCGGATGGTTCGTGCCTGCGTGGGTCCATCCATCCGTGCTGGCGCTCAGAAGAGGGACGGTTGCTCGAGCTCGCCACGTTGGACTTGCGTGCAGCTTACAAGCAGTTTCCTCTGTCCCCGAAAAGCCGAGCTTTGTCCGTCTTAGTGTTGAAGAATCCAGTGTCGAAGGAGGTCGCTTGCTTCGAGGCTAAAGCTCTGCCATTCGGGGGCACAGCAAGCGTTGTGCACTTCAACAGAGCCGCAAGGCTGCTGTGGGCCATAGGCCAACACCTGCATGTGTGTTGGCTGAATTTCTTTGACGATTACCCAATCCTGACGCCTAGGGTATTGGCCGGTTCGACAAAGCAAACACTGAAAGCCCTTGTTGATCTGCTTGGCTTTGATTGCTCTTGGGAGAAGTGGCAGGACTTCTCTACTCGCGCCACAATGCTTGGGGTGGAAGTTGACCTTAGTGATGTTGCGTCGGTTGGCGTTAGGATTCGCAATAAGGAAGGCAGGGCCGGCCAAGTTGTCTCCACTGTTGAGGAGCTTCTGCGAAAAGAGAGCATGCCTGCTCGTAAACTTCTGAGTGTGATGGGACGAATCCAGTTTGCAGATGCCCAAGTTATGGGGCGGACGGGAAGGCTCGCGCTTGCCGAGATTCGTCGATGGTCTAGAAACCATGTTGACCGCGTTACCGTAGGGCGTGAGTTGATGGAAGCCTTCGGAGTCCTTACCGACCGGCTCTCAAGTGGGACGCCTCGCGTTGTGCCTTGTGAACTGCCGAAGCAGCCAGTGTTGGTTTTCACTGACGGGGCTAGTGAGGATGCGTTGCACACTGTAGGCGGGATCCTAATAAGGCCTGGGTGTGATGCGCGGTTCTTTGCTTGCCATGTGCCATCTGAGCTTGTGAAGGCTTGGGAGGGCTCGCTGAAGCACCTGATAGGGCCGGTTGAAACTTACGCCGCTCTTGTTGCGAGAGCCGTGTGGCACCAGTTCCTGTCGGGCCAAACATACCTGCATTTCATTGATAACGTAGGCAGCCAGGATAGCTATGTCAAGGGCACCTCGACGAGCGCTATCATTCGCTCCCTGTTAGTCTCCTATGAGAGGATTGAGTCGAACGGGGCTTCTTGGCCTTGGTTCGCCCGGGTACCGTCAGACTCGAACCCTTCTGACGAGCCGTCTAGAGGTGTCTTCGACGGTATTGTCAAGGAGCTCGCGGCAAAGCGCGACGTGTGTTTATGTCCCATGACAGGCAGGGAACTTTGTGACATAACTTCTCAAATTCCTGAAGGTGTCGCGCGAGGTATATGTAAACTGGGGGAGCACGGCACCTCGTTGCGCCCCCATCAGAAAAGACGTTGCAGTCGCTCTGGAGTTTGAGTTCAAGGGTTTTGCTAAGCGGTCAAAAGATTCTTTGGAAACCGCAGGGTTCCTAGGATATTTTGATTAAGCGAGAGAGGCTGGAGCCGAGCATGGCAAAACCTCTCTGTGCTACGCATGCGCACTCCTCTTTCTCTGTATGCAGTTGCTCAGCGAATGGGAGGGTGGTGGGAGCTGCTGCGCGGCAGCTGAGCTCAGAGTGAGCCCCGCCCGCCCGCCCTACAGTTCAGGAGTGCGCTGACCCGAGTGTCAGAACAGCCTAACCCTGCCGTCGAGCACGGCACCTCGTTGCGCCCCCATCAGAAAAGACGTTGCAGTCGCTCTGGAGTTTGAGTTCAAGGGTTTTGCTAAGCGGTCAAAAAGACACAGACACAGACACAGACACAGACACAGACACAGACATAGACACAGACACAGACACAGACACAGACACAGACACAGACACAGACACAGACACAGACACAGACACAGACACAGACACAGACACAGACACAGACGCAGACGCAGACGCAGACGCAGACACAGACACAGACACAGACACAGACACAGACACAGACACAGACACAGACACAGACACAGACACAGACAGAGACAGAGACAGAGACAGAGACAGAGACAGAGACAGAGAGAGAGACAGAGAGAGAGAGACAGAGAGAGAGAGACAGAGAGAGAGAGAGACACAGAGAGAGAGACACAGAGAGAGAGACACAGAGAGAGAGAGACACAGAGAGAGAGACACAGAGAGAGAGACACAGAGAGAGAGACACAGAGAGACAGACACAGAGAGACAGACACAGAGAGAGAGACACAGAGAGAGAGACACAGAGAGACACAGAGAGACACAGAGAGACACAGAGAGACACAGAGAGACACAGAGAGACACAGAGAGACACAGAGAGACACAGAGAGACACAGAGAGACACAGAGAGACACAGAGAGACACAGAGAGACACAGAGAGACACAGAGAGACACAGAGAGACACAGAGAGACACAGAGAGACACAGAGAGACACAGAGAGACACAGAGAGACACAGAGAGACACAGAGAGACACAGAGAGACACAGAGAGACACAGAGAGACGCACAGAGAGACGCACAGAGAGACGCACAGAGAGACGCACAGAGAGACGCACAGAGAGACGCACAGAGAGACGCACAGAGAGACGCACAGAGAGACGCACAGAGAGACGCACAGAGAGACGCACAGAGAGACGCACAGAGAGACGCACAGAGAGACGCTCAGAGAGACGCTCAGAGAGACGCTCAGAGAGACACAGAGAGACACACAGAGAGACACACAGCGAGAGGACACACAGAGAGACCACAGAGAGACACACCAGAGAGCCACAAGGAGGGACACAACAGAGAGCACACAGAGAGACACCACAGAGAAGAGACACACAGAGAAGGGCACACAGGAGACACACAGAGAGACACACAGAGAGACACACAGAGAGACACACAGAGAGACACACAGAGAGACACACAGAGAGACACACAGAGAGACACACAGAGAGACACACAGAGAGACACACAGAGAGACACACAGAGAGACACACAGAGAGACACACAGAGAGACACACAGAGAGACACACAGAGAGACACACAGAGAGACACACAGAGAGACACACAGAGAGACACACAGAGAGACACACAGAGAGACACACAGAGAGAACACAGAGAGACACACAGAGAGACACACAGAGAGACACACAGAGAGACACACAGAGAGACACACAGAGAGACACACAGAGAGACACACAGAGAGACACAGAGAGACATAGAGACACACAGAGATACACAGAGACACACAGAGACACACAGAGACACAGAGAGACACAGAGAGACACAGAGACACACAGAGACACACAGAGAGAGAGACACAGAGAGACACAGAGAGAGAGACACAGAGAGACACGGAGACACACAGAGAGACACAGAGAGACACGGAGAGACACGGAGAGACACGGAGAGACACGGAGAGACACGGAGAGACACGGAGAGACACGGAGAGACACAGAGAGACACAGAGACACACAGAGAGACACAGAGACACACGGAGACACACACACACACACACACACCATCTGACGATGTGACACCGAGCTACAATGCTTGCACGGGAAGTTCTCTAAGTGACATGGGCTGCCTTTCACTGCAAAGGGGACGCGAAACACAACTGGTGCAGCACAACGTCGGAGCGCAAGAGCAGCTTGGGGGCTGGCAAATGCGTGCACAGTCCACACTCAGCGGTTTACAGTTCTGCACAAGCCCCAAGGCTCATAGCGTTCTTAGGATCCAGATGATTTTGGTCTCTCAGCGCTGCAGCATTCTGCAGTCAAAAGATCCAAAGCGAACCCCTGACGCTGTACACCTGAAGGGCTCCCTGAAGGCCGCGAATTTCCTCAAGCGGTTCGTGATAAAGGAAGGGTCGTTAAGGAGTCCCCAGACGCCAGGGAACTGCCCTTCCAAGAAGTACCCCTTGATCCTTTATTTATCAGCTGAAACCCCAAATCTGCCAATCAGATGCAGGAGAACATGGAAGCCATGGCTACAGCATATGTGCTGTTTGCTTTACTCAGCCCGCGCATGATCAAGGACCCTGTGGAGGTGTACAGTGTCGAGTATACTGTAGAGTGAGTAGAGCGTAGTGGGGGCAGCAATGTGCAGTAGGAGAGCTCAACAAGTCTTTAAGTCTTGGCTGCACTGAGTTTTGGGGCCTCAGCACGTTTAGCAGAACCCCAAGCAAAGCAGCTAAGGATGGGAACTAGGTTGAGGGAAGGTCTGTGGAGTTCAAGAGAATTTCCGTAGTTGGTCGACGCGAGTTCGAAAGGTCTTGACGATTCTTGACGCATGGTCTCGGAGAGGCTTCAACTGGGTTCAAGTTAAAGGCATTCTTGGATGGAGCTTGCCAATCTTGCCACTGCTGAGTCTTGAGCCCCACCAAAGGCGCTAAGCAGGCCTACTTGAGCAAAAGCTTCGTGCGCCCCTGTGTTAATGCATCTGTAGAGTCGGGCTGCCTGCCCTACAACCCCTCAGTTCTGACCGAGAGGACAGAGTCACTGCAGCGCCCGGTGTTCTCGTCAAAGACGGCGACGTAACGGGCAATGTGGTGTCCGTGCTACTTGCACAGATCATCATTGAACCATCCGGCTGTTGCAGATGTCTAGCCGGCGGGTTATGCTGGTGATGGGTAGGTTCGATTCTTTGCTTTTATGGACCACTGGACCACATAGTAGCGTGCTCACTTGCCGTGCTCGTGGCCACTACGAATTCGAAGAGTGTGCGAAGGTTGGCGGTGCGCTGACCTGAATTCTAAAATATTCCCAAGTCTGCACGGCAAGTGAGAACCATGCCTGCTCAACAAGTCTAGTACGTGCGAAGGGCCTCTTTGCAAACTCCGGGAGTCTGGAGTCTAGAGGCCAGGCTCTGACAAAAGGTTCCGGAAGGAGTACTCGAGAATTCATGACGCCCATGGTACCTAGAGCAACGAAAAAGCGCAAGCTGCTTAACTCTGTTTGACTGTGCAGACCTTGACCTCCTGAGCACTGCCTTAGCACGGTGTAGCACTTGCCTATCAGGGCCGCTCAGATGACCAAGATCCTAACTAGATCACAGGCTGACAGTCCAGCAATGTCCAACCAGTTCAGCCATTCGGGCGGCAAAAAAACAATGTCCAACCGCCGCATCTATCCTGTAATTCGCGTGTAACCGCCGCATCTATCCTGTAACACTGTAGCGTGTCCTTGACGCACCGAGGCTCTTGATTTGCAGCCAGGACTGCTTGGAGTCGGAGCATGTGGCCAAGTGGATTCTGCAGACAAGCAGTGTGCCGTGAGCGGCAGAAGTTGCATTGAACTGCTTTTGGCTAATGCAGCTACAGCTAGGCAGCTGTGCCCCTCTGATCTGGGAGGCAACGAACTAACATGGTGGCCAAATTCAAGCCTCAGAAACCCCATGATTCCTTTGAGTTAAGCCATGTCCAACATGTGCTTTCTCATACTCATTACACTGAATCACCTTTGAGAACTCTCGCCCAGGTGTCGTCTTGTGCGGTGTTGCCTATTATCGCTGAGGCCACAGAGGGGGTGGGGCGGAAACATGGAGAGAGAGAGAGAGGGTTTGGAGTGAGGGAGGGGATACCTAGATAAACTCAAGGGCCAGCGGTGGGGCCGAACAGCGGCCCAGGGTGCAGTTCCGCAGTGATGCAGACAGGGGCGCGCTTTGGCGCGGGGTTCTGCTCCAAGCCCCGAAGAAAGAAAGAAGGAAGAAGAAGAAGAAGAAGCAGAAGAAGAAGAAGAAGAAGAAGAGAAGAAGAAGAAGAAGAATAAGAAGAAGAAGAAGAAGAAGAAGACAGGGACAGGGGGAGGGAGCGGGAGAGGGAAATACCCGGTTCTTAGTTGCCCTGCCCCCTAACATGAAAGGGGCACCCCTACAAGTACCCTTGCGGGGTCACAAGGTTTTCTTTTAGGGGCGCCGGCTTGGCCGTGCCCGACAAGCTCATAAAGCCCGAGCCCTTGACCCACAACCTTTCAACGCGAAACGGTCCAAAGTCGGGGACAGCTTTTTTGGAGGGGTCGGGTTCAGGAAAAATGCTTAGGGGGGGGTCTTCGTCATCGTGGAAAGTAATCATATAATCATGCACTTACCTTGCGATGTCTGCCAGAGCCTGTTGATCCGACACCTGGGCAGGAGTCTTTCCAGTTTCCTGCGGGCTCCAACCTTTCGCGGCTTCTTGCCGGGGAGGGGTTTAGGGTGTTCAAACAGGTGAAATTGTGCAGGTTGGCTTCGGTCTCAGCGTTGCGGCTGTCCCGCGGATGGTGTGATATCGGAGATGTAAGAATGGAATTCGCATGATTCGCATGATTGCGCCTGGGATACCTCGTTTAGTTTGTAAGGGTACCTCGTCTATCAAAGGTGTAGTATAGTGCTCTGCACCCGGTAAAGCAACCGGGATTTCCGAAAGGATTCCCCCACAAAGCGAGGCTACTTCGAAACCAGGACCTGCAGCATCTGGATCTTATGACTTATGTGCCATGGCTTTTTTTCCGCGAGGGGCTTTCCGCCAAGAGGCATCCTAGGGTCGCGATGCCGGGGTGTGCACTCTTTGCTGTCTCTGTTGGTTCTTGTTACAGTTTAGATGTATGTATTTTTGCTTTACATCTGACAAACCCGAGGGGCTGCTTACAAAATACAAGTCGTTGCAGTTGGTTGGCCGTATTCCTGCCGCTTGGGGATTCCCCCTTAACGCGGTTGCGCATCTTACCCTTGTCAAGCATCATGGGCGGTTGGTAATGACATGCTAACGAACGGTTAGTGATGACATGCTGATGAAAGGCAATTGCGACTTGCAGCGCTGTGAGGTGCAGGGATGTGGCTTCAGGTTCGAGGTCGAACAGGGACACTGTGAGCGCAGGTGTCGACTGATGAAGGCGGATGTCGCAATGTGGTACAGGTCTTGTGATATCCAAAAGGCTCGGCAAGCAGTTGTCCCTAGCAGATCTTATGTTTCGCAATGCTACAACACCGTTGCAACAGTTAGTCAGTGAAAAGAGTTAAGAGGTTCAATTGGATCTGGCACCTTCTTCTTTATGCTGTGACAATCGTGACATCCTTGGTGAAATAAGGGTGTCGCAGCGTCATGCGGTGATATGCGGCGCAAGTCCCTGTGGCCATACTCACATAAGGTGCGACTGGTTCTCTGCATCTTCGAAGAAGTCGCTCTCTACTTCTCTGCCCGAGTGGCTTGGGACATTTTGAGCGCATCGTGATGTTGACATTGGCCCCGATTTCAGCAAAGGTAGCATCGGGTATTGTTGGGCGTTTTTGTTTTCAGGTTCTTGGGGATGTGGCGTGTTGATGATGTAGCGACACAGATCAGCGGTGTCAACGCGACCTGGTTCAGCTGTGCACAAGACAAAAAACCGTAGACGCCTAGCAGGTTGAGGTTGCTGTTTCATGCAGGTGCCCCTTTCGAAAGGCATGTGCCATGTTGGATATTCGAACAATGAATTACTCTTTTAGCCGATTTTAGCCGTCCAATGATGGAAGCTGCAGAAGACAAGGCCTCGTCGGCCATGGAGCTCGACCTCCGCTTGGATCAGCTTGCTCAGAGATTGAGGCAAAGCTTGGGAGTTCCAGGGGTGTTGGTTCAGGACTGTTGAGGACTTGTGGGGAGGAATGCGTTCCTCCTTAACTTTCCAACATACATGCACCCCAAATCTCTGAAGTTGGAGGTTCAGGACTTTTTTGGTTTCTTTGCAACCACGGCCTCCTGCAAATAAATCTGGTCTCTGGTCCTACTTGTCCTACTTGTCCTGTGGACACCTTGTCCCATCATAGTGTCCTTGCTCACACTTCGGAGAAGATGTGCTAGTGGTTCGTGATTTCTGCTTCAGACCAGACCAACGATGCACTGAACGCCAAGAGGAAGCAACACCGCCCTCTGTTCCCATACAATCCCAAGATGCTAAAGTCCTCCAGCTACATTGGAAGGGTAAGATTTTCAACTTTCTGGGTACATGTAACAAGCTGCCTGTCAAGGACGTCGAAGCCGAAACCCTTGTCAACCAGGTTGTCGTCCGATGCTCCTGGGCTAGCAGCTGGTAGAATCTGTGAAGAAACCCCCAAACACCTGCTGAAGGATCTAAGGGCGGCTTGAGTTTTCAGACGCAGTCCCCAGGTATTCTGTTGCACCCGAAAGGTCCTCGGGTCCCTGGGTTCCTTCAGGTGCGTGGAGGGTTTTCAGGGGCTCCAAGGATGAATGGGCTTCCCAGCCACAGCCGACTGTGATGAAAGCTTCCCGCAACCCTCTGAAGGATGGCGATTGAAGGAAGAGATGCGGATTGAGATGTCGGGTTTAGGGTTTAGGGTCCTGTCCAGCGTCTGCTGGGGCCTCCTCGCAGTAGTCAAACATCAGGGCGTCCCGAGGGGCCCCCCGGACGAGTCAAAGGCATGTAGACAGGTGTAGTCTTTCGGGCCCATGCCGAGATGCTTTCCATTCGGACAAGCTCCTTGTCCTTTGACGAAGGCCGCCGGCGCAAAGTATTTGTGTTGACAATGGTTTTGGGTAGAGGCTTTGGGATTGGGCTACAGTTCAACACTTTCTTGGCTACCCAGCCGCAATATGCGGCAACCCAGTAATTGACATTTGCTCCCGCTTTCTTATGGAACCTGTGCTCTGTAAGCTGGCTTCCGCATCGCTTACGCACTTCACCGGGCGCGGAGTGATTGCTTACAGAACAAAGGAGGGAGTGTTTACAACAGGGTCGGTGGATAGGCGTCGACAGATGCGGGGTGAACAAATTGGCACGGCTTGGGAGCTTCCGCGTCCCAGCTTGGCATGTTAATTATCACAGTAGATGAGCGTGTGAGTTTGCGGGCACTGTGGCCACGATGTGTGTGCGTGTGTGGGTGGCTGGCTGGAAGTCTGCTAGGCAAGTCCCGGAACAGAGAGTCATCGGACCGGAACGCCTTTAGTGGGGCTGGTTCCCTTGTTAGTCCTTCTATATCCTTCCTTCTAAGTCTATATAATCCTCCTCCAAGTCCTTGTTGAATTTCTCTGTTAACATCTTGAAACCCATCCCCATGCGATTGCCCCATGGTGGTCTTATTCCTTCAACGCCCCAACTTTCGAGCTC